CAATTTAATATCATGAAAAATCTATTTTTCTTATCTGAAAAAGAACTAAAAAAGTATATACTAAAATTTAATAATTATTCTAAACACCCAGTTTAATTAATCAGGTAACGAAGGCTATATTTTTCTAGTGTTATTTTATTGAAGAGGAAACAAAAAAGCTATTTATATTTTTTTCTTAGTTACAAATATTTTCAATATGATTGCGTTTTTACATCTAAATGTGAATTAAATTTAAGTAAAAAGAAAATTTTTCTTTTTAGTTTTGTGTCTTGTTTATTTAATTAAGATAAAGAAGTGTACAAGATAAAATATAGTTCTAATTCGTTTGGTTCTTGACTTAACATCCACCACGTAAAGCTAAGACTAAATGAAGAACACTTCCAGCATTGACATTGTATTCACTAACTGTTTTATCATCTGTCATTTGTTTTCCACCGAAAATAAGTCGTTGTTGTTGTGGAGGAATTCCTATTTAATAACAAAAGAATATTATTTTTTAAAATAAAAATTAATAAGTTTTTTTTACCTTCTTTTTCTTCAACACGTTCTTTGATACGTTCAATTTTATCTGTACCATCAATATCAACTTCAATTTCTTTACCAGTTAAAGTTTTCACTTTGATCATCATCTTTGTAATTTGACTATTGAGAAATTATGACAAATGTATAATTTGTGTAAGAATAAATATGCTGTATTGCAACAATTATTTGTAAGGTAACACTATGAATATTCCTATTGGATTACGTTGGATATTAAACGGATTATCAATCAGGAATGTTATGTTTCTCAAAGTTGAAATGAAAAATTTTCGATTTTCTTTTTTTGTATAAAAGCTTTGTAATTTAAATAATGCAGAATAGCATACATATAAGTCTTTATCAACCAGCGATCATAGATGTCATGATATATTAAAGATTAATAAGGCAGAGTCATCTAGTGATTTGTTTATTTTAAAAAGTACAGTCTTGAGATCTATCCACCGCTTGGTATCTAGAAATTCAAGAAAATAAAATAGGATTCATTCACAGGATTATCAAATCGATATTTTAGAAACCAGCAGATCTATACAAAGAATGAACAGAAATTCATCAGGAATTTTTTCTGGAAAACCAGAAAGGATTTAGGCAGTATTATTCGTTTGCAGATGGGCTTATTATTTTCTTCTAATAAAGTAGTTAATATAAAATTTAATGGCAAGCGATATGAAAAAGAAAAGAAATATCATCACACATACTTTACATACTATTTTTTTTTCATATTCGTTGATGAAAAGTATACAAACAAAATAGAAACAAAAGTTTACGTATAAACTACGATATGAATCAGCATAAAATAAGCACATTGAAACACTACATGTTGCTCAGTACGACGTGTGGCACTTTTACAACACGCAAGTATTTTTCATCATGATTGGATTTGTTTCAGCAAATTTGGTTCATGTACGAGATATTTATAATAATCTGCTTCATTTTTAATTCAACGCAAAGAACATCAATTGTTATTCGCTTTTGACTATTATTTTACAAAAATTCCATGTGACTAAAACATATTCATAAAGGGTATTCGAAGCCGCTATAGAAAGAGCAAGTTAAAATAATTTTTGCCAATAAGGTAGTTTTTTACCATGAAAAAGATAAGCTCATAATTGTCCGCATCTGATTGATAGATGTTTCCTCTGTTCTTTGTGAATTGTAACATCACTTTGTGACGTTAGACCGTTTTGTCTTGTTGGTTAAACATGTTACTAAGAGTTGAGATGAACAGAAAGCAACGAACAGAAGAAAGGCTCAAAAATCATGTTTAACCTGAACACTTAAGGACATTTAGTAGCTCTACTCATCTGTATCAAAAACTGCGCTTATCCCTATCTTCAACATAACTTTATCGTATAAGACCGTTTGTAGTACGTTATGACTAGTGCCCGGCGTGACCAACTTTTTTGGTCACGGTGAGGCTAGTCCGTGACCGTGAGTTACGGCCCTTCTTTATGGTTCTTCAACATGAAAAAACAACTTTCCAGAAAGAGCTATTGCAAAGTTTCTGTTTACTATTAAAAGTGAAGGTCGAGGGGGGAGAGGATAGCTTCGCGGAAGTGCCCGTACTCTCCCTCAGGGGTTTCCGAAACCACTAATACTAGAAACTTTCCAATTTGTTATAAAAAAACGATGACTGAAAGAGGGGGTAGCTTCGCTAAAGTCCTGTTATCGAGGTAACTCTCTACGACACTGTTATCACCTCATTGTCTTAATCATATTATGATCTGTCTTTTTATATGGTGTGATAATCTTTCGATAATCTTTTATTCTACATATGGCGTGATCAGCGCTGTATGTACTATCGTTCAAGAGATGGCGTGATTCTACTAACATATGTATACAAGCTTCTTTTTTTTATTGTTGCTGTTGTTGAGCCTATACATCTTTTTTTTTCTTCTTAATAAACTATATAACCAGTGCTAATAGGTCCTCCTACTACCCCTCAGGACTTTGCAAAATTTCGAAAAAGTTCTCGTGACTAACCGTGACCAAGCTCCAGTCACGGTCACGGTCACGACCGTGACTGTGACTCACTGGTAGTCACGGCGGTCATGCCGGGCACTAGTTATGACACATGAATGCTTAGCATCGCTCAACAGAGACAGTTTTTGGAGCATCGGTATCAGAATTGTATAGTTAAATGCTGGTAACTTTTCCAGTGAAGCTGTGTATCACAGTGTCTCGGGTCACTCTTATTGTAATAATATCTTGAATTTCATCTGAACCCCTGTTGAAAACTCCTTTGTCTGAATGGTGGTTACCTTTAGAAGAGACTCAGTTAATAAGATTATCACACAGGTTCGAGATTATGCAAATGAAAACTTTGCGGCATGAACATAGCATGATCACTTGCCATCAATGAATCATGTCATAATCCCGTTACACCGGATATCCACTTTCCGACAACACAAAAGCTAATAGGGTATTCAGCTGAAGCGTATTCACGTCTATCGAATGGCTACCAGTTCCAGGAGTAATCACTTCATCTCTTCCAGTACCACAATATATGTTCGCATCACAAGACAAAACACTTTTCTTCGGAGTATTATCCTAAGGTTAATGACATTATTTATCTAAAAAAAATGACTGCATATTCTAAATGTTGAGGGATTTCAGTGGATTTGGTGTATTACACTCAGTATAATGACATACTTCATCGCAATAGATAACTATATATTGTAAAAGTTGAGATTTTGAGTGATTTTGGTGTATTACCCCCAGTGTAACAGTAGCATCAAGCTTGAAAGATAAATTCAATTGAAATGTCAACTTTCAGCCGAAATTTCAATTTTCACCTTTGAAGTTTCAACCTTCAAGATTCTTTCGCTACACCCTCACTTGCTGCGATGATGTGTGTGTAAGATTTTGTGAGTCGTGATTCTTTAAAGTAATTTTGGTTTGAAACTTGAAATTTGAAATCTGAAGTTTCAGTTGAAAGCTGAAATTTCCATTGAATTTATGTTTCAAACTTGATACTACTGAATGCTTGATGATTATTAATTCCATTTTTTATTGCTAAGAAGAAGGAAAAGTATAACAGAAAAGCATTTAAAAAAATATCATAAGACGATTTATCATTATTTAATTTGTTTTGTATCACAAGGAGAACAAGCCAATCTTTAGTTTTATCAATTAATTCTTGTGCTTCTTACTTAATACTATTATCCTCGGTTCTTCATGTGAATCAAATAGATTATTCGACATTCTTTCGATCATTTTCACAACTTCGTGTTCTATTCATTCCATATTCGTATTGAATACTATTGTGTATAATATCCAATAAAAATATGGACAATACATACGAGTCGTTTAAGAAGAGATTCATAAACATCCAACTATGTACCAAACAAAGCACTCAATAAAATGTTTATCATAAAAATAAAAAAGAGTAAATTTCTAACGTAAATATTTATATTAAATATTGTATAATTTTTTTTGAAACAAAGATTTTGGATTAAATTTTTTTCTGATTAAAAAAAAGACATTTATAAATAATTTATGTGAATATAATGTGTCTAGCATGAAAAGACGATATGATCTTTCCGGCAGAATAAACAAATAATTACAAAAGTTGATGAATAAAAACGCATTTAGTCAATGTGTCATGGGGTTTAGTTTCTATTACCATATCAAACATAGTATCATGTTCATTATAATAAAGTTTTTGATTATCTATTAATCTCCTTTTATTATCGAAGAGTAAATTTTGACTGACCTGCAATGGTAAAAACTCATGCAAATAAAGATGAAGATAATTTTTAACATTTTCTATTGTAAAAATCAGGTATCATTCATAAAAATACTATTTTTGATTTGTTGAAAAAATCACTTTTGATTCGTTTATTCATTCATTTTCGAAATCACATCAACGCAACAAACCAATATATAAAAGTTTTTTTTTTTTTTAGATAAGTTTTGAGAACGATAAGATACTTAGTAGAGAAATAATGTAAATCTAAGTGTACAACAGTTCAAGAAAATGATAATCATGTGACTAATTCAGAAGCACAATAACAAGAAAACCAACCAGATTCACTAATGAGATTTCTTAATAGATGATCATACAGTAAAAATATATCTGAATTACATTCATGAAACGTGGAAAATGAATCAGAATCACAAGAACAGCAACAAAAAAATAAATATTTTTACGGATGAGTTAATACATCAAACATTGTTTTCTTGAATAATAATATTCTTATAATTAATAATATACACCATCTTTTCTACCCAACAATCACCATGTTTGTCAGAATAGTTACGCCAACGATCACCACATTTTTAAGGATATTTACCCCACTGATCATCACCTTCAGATCGATGGATTGAATGTTGCTTTGGCAAAGCTGGTCCGACATTGACTTTATATCCATTAGTCACGTGTTCCCAGGTCAAACAAGCACGACCGTATACGGAGAAATATGGTGATTTACGGAGAAAAACACGCTCGTTTATGATCGTATATGGCCTTCGTATTCGTCGATCTGGAAATTGCTGCACAAGATGGTGAAGTAAAATCATTGAAATCAAATGTTCGTTCACTACTTATTGCGATGAAACCATTAGGAAATTTAAATAAACGTATTTTAATTGAAAAATTTCGATTATATATAATATCATCTTTATTTAGTTTCTTAGCTTTTCCTAATGCGTGTCGAACTGTTCAACATAAAATGCCAGTCGTTCGTCGACGATTAGATCAATAAAATGACAGCATTAATCCTTGCACGTATTATTGTTCTTGTCATTTTATATGTGTACCTGATATAATATACTATATATATATTCATTTATTTCTTCGTTTCATGCGAAAACTCTTCTTCAATTTATGATTACTCAATTGATTAAAAAAATTATTCATTCTTTGGTTTTTCTCAACCATACAGTAAAACATTGATTTTATCTTTCTATTATCATTTGATATATTTTGTTTTTATTTAGGTAACGTTTTATATTTTTCTGACAGTATCACTACGTTATCGTCATCAAGTAAAATATCTTTGAATCAAAAAGTTTTGGCATCGATGCAAACAATGGTGTCATCATAATCGAAACACAATCCTTCATCAGAGAGAAAATTCAGTTGCATATGCTGCTGACACTGAATGACGAAAATATCCACTGATTCTGTTTTATATCGTAGTTGTATTGTTGTATGCTTGATGTTCACTGCTCATCGTTTTGTTTCTTCTTGAACGATGTCATGCCATTGATATTTACGAACTTTATCGAAAGTTTTCAATAGAAATAGAAATAGAAATCTATTATCTTCGTATATAATAAGTATAATCAGTATTTTATCTAGAATGTTTACTAATTAAAGTAAACTATTAATTCGTGAGAAAATATTTATAATAATAATGTAGTCATGACAGATTTTATACTTATAGCCTATACAATATCATTTTTTGTTTAAATATGCATCTACACATACGATCATTGATCCTTTTTTTTTCAGTGCTCATAGTTTTCTACTTATTTTTATCATAAAAAACGTAAAGAGTATTTCTATTTTACTTTTATTTTGTTTAAACATCAAAGAATTTTAAAAGAAAAATAGTAAATTTAAATATAAAGAATTTTTGAATATTTCATCAGCGCACTTTATTATACCAAAGAAACCCGCAAAGACAAGTTCGAAAATGAAGAGAACACAAAGAAAATCTTTCATTCTTTCATCTTATATGCCGAAAATTTGAGACACACAAGGCGATAGCAACAATATTTTCATTGAGTTAGAATATGCATTATACAAAACAAATGTCACTCATATCCTAGTTACAAAGTATATTTTAATAAATAATCATTATTCAATTAACGTTCAGTTTTTGAACTATTTAAAACTCTTATTTTGTATAAAAATAGCAGGATAGTATGATCTAGTGACAGATCAACGGTAAGCAATAGAACTTGACAATGCAAAACACTATTAACTAGAGGTAGCCTTTCTCTACAATCTAATACATGGACAATCTTCATAAAACAGGTTGAGCATGTTACTATATAACAGAGCAACATACCAGCATTTCTCTTATGCACATACACTAGGCTTCATATTGATCATTGCTATCAGTTCTTTAGACTCATACAAATCTTTGTCGATGTGTTTCGTCATATTTACTTTGGATACATGATTCTGTTGATAACATAACCAGCATAATTAATACGACAAAATGTCCAGGAGACTCTGACAGATTGTGGTAGTATTTATCTACCAACAAACTAATCTTCTTAGGTTTATACTCGACCATTGCTTAAAACTAGTGCTAAGGTGATGATGACTTATGTTCAACCACACAAATAGAATGAGATATGAATTTCGCAGTAAATAATACAAATTATTTCAAAGGTCTCTTGTACAACGTTAACAATATGAAATATGAATAGTTATCTTGCAACTATTAAGTTCATAATTCTATATGTTATTATTGTCTATTAGTCTCATTATTTTCTTGAAGATGCGGTTTCAGAGTATTTGTGTAATAGAGATCTCGCTCTCATCGACACCTACACGTTAAAGAAACTCAAGGAAGTAAAATTTACAAAAGTCATAGTAGCTTGAAAAGCTGTAAAGTAAAACGGACTTAATTTAGTTTATCATGAATTACTCAATTATTTTATATAAATTACTTAATAAAAATTTATATTTTAAAATCTCAGGTGATAAAGTTTATATAGAAAAATTGGAATAGTTATTTCCAACTATATATTTTTATTTCTTAGAAATATATGTATATTAAAGTAAAGTTTCTCAATTAGTTCACTTTGTCATAGATAGTTATATTCGTTTTTGTTCTCTATTGTCGTCATCAGAAATACTTTGAAAATACAATACTATCAATATTTATTTATCGGCTTATTCATTTTTTTTTCAAACCACGTCAATTTGAGATTATATTTTCTCGATAAATATGTTGATTCTGTTTTCTAGTAATATTTGATAGCAGTCAAGCATTAAAACTAACCAATAGCGATTAATAAGAAGAATGAATCAAAGAAATTGAATTCATGTGTGTAGAAATGCTTACTGTTTTACGAAGTTATTCATACCAAGAAGAAATATATGACAAGTATTGCGTATATAACTAGGTTATTTTTAGTGTAAGATACATTCTTGTCTTAAAATAAGGACAAATGTATGAAGCATAGCATTCATTTTCATTTTAGACTTTGCCATAGTAAGTATGTGTTTTTTTTTTTATATCTTCTGATTTATATTTTATTCTTCAGTTATAATACAGATATAAATGCGATAATGGATAGTGCAAAATTTTTACATTAATTTTATTTTCAGTATAGTGTGATAATAACTTATTGTAGAAACTTAATAGTTTTTTTTTGTTAGGATGAGCAAAGTCTCTATTTGTAAAATATTTTTGTTGAAAATGCTTAAACAAGAATGACAAATGTCTTGTAACTTTACATAAAATCAGTAATGAGAGGTGCATTTGATCGATTCGTGTTACACTTGGCCTTCACAATTTTTACACACATTATGTGCGAATGTAACCAATGCGACACAGGCTTTCTAGTAATATTTGAATTATAAAAACTACAAATTCAATTCAAAAAACAGTTTTATTTAAAACTTGATTTTTCTTTCTAAAATGTTTAATGAGGTTTAATAGAAAAATTGTATTCTATTTTATATTATGTGTTTTTGTAAAGCTATCACTAAACTCTAATAGGTTATAAAATATTGAATTTCACTTACTTTGATTGTTGAAGATAGCATTATACTTATTACATATAAAACACTATTCGATAAGTATTTCGAATAGAATATTTTTACATACCTTCGTATTAGAAACTTTACTCTTTCTAATAATAAAACTATTAAGTCTCTACGCTGAGTTATTGTCACATTATACTGAAAACCAAATTTATGTCAAGCTATTGCGACATCTGTCATTTTGTCTAAAAGGTTCTTGAGACATTTTGTTATGTAATAGTATTACTACTGAGTGATGTAATAATACAGCTCAAAAGAAACTCGAATATCGTGTAGCAATTACAGATCGAATAAACATTATATTGTTTTTCATAGTCTACTTATAAGACTTATATCATTAGGATATAAACTGAATTAATGATATGGACTTCGTACTTGTTGATAGCCAATCGAAAGTATAAAATACTATTTTTAACTTATATTCCGTTATTTCTGTAAGTATTTCGAATTTTTTTCGTACTATACATAATATCATGTATGATAGACGAAAGAAAGCAGGATTACAATTATGTACACTACAATATGTTGGTTTTTTGGATTAAATCATTAGTAAAATATTCTAGAAAAAAAAAAATATAAAAACCAATTGCTATGACACATTTAAACTTGTTCAAATATATGATTTTTGATTAACTTTGACGTAGTTCTAGATTGAAAATGTCTGATTCATCCGAATTTAGTAAACGTCTTATTTAGTAATGATGACAGAGTGAAATTAAACAAAAAATAAGAAACGACTTGCAACAAAAATAAAGATAAGAAATGATTGATAATTTTTTGTATGACTATGATTTACGTCAATTTTTTTTATCAATATTATTTAATATGACGTTCGTAAGTAAAATATATCTTCATCTATATTATAAATTAGTATATATACTTCAGATGACGTGAGCAAAATCAAATTTTCTTTTGTCAATACTTTTCGTCGACAAGAGAAACTTCAAAAAATAATTTTCATTCTTTCTTCAAAATCAATTTCATTACAATATGTCTATTTTTTTTTGTTGTCATTCGATACAACATTTCATAAGTCATGATGTAAAAAAGAGAATGCATTCATATCATTGTAGTTAAGGGGCAATTTCTCATTCTGTCATGAAGCAGTATATAGGAAGGAGGATATAGCCTTGTCATGCACTTATAGGTTGAGGACATTCGAAAATGAAAACAAAAAAATAAAAGTAAGGTCAACAGCTAAGTATTTTTACATTAAGGGTACTTTTTTCTTGCTTGCTTGTTTTTTAAGTAATAGATAAAACGCAGTAAAACATTCTTATTCGTCCAACATGAGTCAAGTTTGTTAACGACGTATTACACGTCGTGTGCTGATTTTTTTTTTTCGATATTTAATACTAACATACTTATATAAACAAGGAAACTAATTATTTGTCACGTCTTTTCTTTTGTTGTCAATGTTTGCTAACATAAGTAAAAAGAATGTGAATAATTTTTTTTTGTTCTGACATAAGGAAGAAAAAAGGCGAAGGTGTTTCGCAATTCTTATCAACATATATATATATATATATATATAAATATGACAACATTTCCTGTTTTGTTTTAGATCACCAATTGAAAATTTATGGTAATTTGTGTTGTGCAAGACACATCATCCGAAATGTCAACCATAGAATATCCTCGAAAGCTTTTACGTTCTGTAACTTGTGACTCAATGACATCATTCATGAGATGTCGCAAGCGACTATTAAGTGAACAAAATAAATGTCGTTCTTTAGTTAAACGACTGAATAATGATGAAATTTATGCTAACAAAAAAGCAAAAACAGGTAATTATGTCATACATAATCACACAATCAGAATGAATGATAATAATCATATCATGTTGTCAATATTATTCTATCGCGTTTTCTTTTTTCATTCTATACACCTACATACACTGAATTACTTTATCTAAAATATTCTTTTTCCTTTTCTTGCCACCAATAGAATGGTCCGTTAATGACTCAGACGACAACAACAATAATCAACAAGTACTATCCGCTTCTTCTCTTTCTTCCTTCGAGAACAAGATATACGATCCATATTCTACTAGTCATCAACGTCGCAAAAGTGTTACTTATATAAATGACATAACGCATGCAGAATCGACTATCATACCTCGACTATCAACAACAGCAACAATCAAAAATATGCTTGTTTGCCAACAAAAACCTATCATTGATATGAATAATGAAAATGAACAAGAAGAAAAAAGTAATTCTTCTAATTATATAACTTCCGCTCAATTATCAGCCTATATAACATCCGTAATTAATATACAAAATGAAAAATTATTAATAATTGATTGTGGTTTACCATTACGATATAATGAACGTCGTATAAAAGAATCATTTTTATTAAATATTAATGATAAATTATCTAAAAAACGTTTCATTAATCGTGGTTTAATAAATTTTTTTGATAAAAATCAATTAAATCGTTTAAATAAATCTGAAATTATTATTCTTTATGATGATACAATTCATTCATCTTCATCATCATGTTTAAATTCAACAATACCAAAAGAAATATCATCAACAATTAAATGTATATTAAATGAATTAAAACAATATGATTCAAATAAAACAATTTATATTCTTCAATCATCATTTGAAGAATTTTATCAACATTATCCAACATTTTGTTATATTAGTTCATCTAATTCAACATATAATGATAATTCATCATGTCTTCTAACAACAGATATTGATTCTCATATTATGTCTGAAGTACTACCTGGTCTTTATCTTGGTAATGCACATGATGCACAAGATATGAATTTATTAAAACAAAATAATATTAAATCTATAATTAATATTTCAAAATCAATTCCATGTTATTATAAAAATGAAACATTATTTGATTATCTTCAATTACCTTGTAATGATTCATGTCAAGAAGATATTATTCAATATTTTGATAAAACATTTAAATATATAGAAGAAAAATTATTATTAAATCAAAATATTCTTGTTCATTGTCAAGGTGGTATTAGTCGTAGTCCATCATTTATTATTGGATATATAATGAAATATCATTTGAAAACATTTGAACAAGCATATTCATTTGTTAAAAATAAAAGACAAATAATCAGTCCAAATCTAGGTTTTCTTACTCAATTAACAAGTTACGAACAAATGATCACATCAGCTATGCAGTGAAATTCTTTCGTTTATTTCTTTTTTTTTTTTGTTATTATTTGTTTCAATCTATCCGATGTATGTACGTGTGTGTGTGTCAGATACGACGTTATATCTTTTTTTTTAATGGAATAGTAATGAAATTGTTTTCTTTTCACTATTCTAAGTCGTCAAATACATGCATTGGTGTCTAAATCTTGTATTATATTGAACAGAAAGAGAATCAAAAATAAATTGTTATTTTCAAAGATGTCAAGTAAACGTGTTATTATATGTAAATTACATTATTTTTAAATTATTGATAATCACTTGATTTTATGATTATTAATTTCTATGCATGTTAGGTTATTCTTGAGTCATAAACAATACTAAATGTACTTTAATAGTGTACCTTGCATCATGACTCGATGTTATTCATTGATTGAATTTTTTTTTTTTTCAGTATTATTTATTTAATAAACCAGGACTAGGAAAAATATTTACTCAATTACAATAAATCTTTATGAATCATGTCAAAAATAATCAATACAAATTTGATTACACAAACCAAATATCAATATTTTTTTTTTTTACCAGAGTTTGTTAAAATCAAAAACACAAGTAACAAAGTATTTCTCAATATCGAAAAAGTCAAATAGTTATTTTAACTTTATTTAAAAACAAGAAATCGATTACATCAAAGTCTCTAGTGATTGCTCATTTTGTTTTTGTATTATGATAAGAATAAAAAGATTTCTATTATGTGCCAATACAATAATTGAACTTTGCTTTGGATAAATTAAAATATTTTCTTTTTTTTTAACAAGTACTAATGAATAATTAAGATATTAAATTCTGTATTGATCGATTCTGATGAATACAATAGTTAATCAGTAATTCACAATACGCAATGTTGTGTACAGATACAACTCTTCATACTCAGTATCCAGCAAAAGTTTTTAATGATAGTATATTTTTAAACTTTTACTTCTCAACAAATATTCGATTTAGGTAGTTAGATAAATAAGAATAAATGATGTAAAATTGCATCAGAAAGTGGATAAGTCAAGTGATTTATTACTTAGTGATTGTACTCTTTTTCAGTTTTATACTTCCTCTTTTTCTTCTCTTGATGGCTCTAGACTTAACAGTTATATTGGGAATAAACATGGCAAATTTTGGTATATATGTGTACATGAGTGTTTATGCTATTATGAGACAGGGTCGTCTTACGAATAAATTTTATTTCTCATAGGCTTCGACAATGCATTATTGAATTTATGATCAATATTGAAAATTCTTTCTTTTTTTTTTTATGAGTATTAGCTGTTCTCAAGTATGTCAAGTTTATTAAGATATGATTGAGCGATTTGTTACATTAATATCCTTCAAAAAAAAACAAAAATTCTAAAATAGAGTGAGTTTTTTTTTTTGTATGAGTAAAAAACATGTCCATTTACTGAAGATTATTGTGGGCGAAATCTTCATAAATTATATTCCCAGTGAGAATTTTTCTTTTGATTTGTCTATTAATCATTATGCTTTGTCACACTTTTTTTTCTTCCATTTTCTTGTTAATTCTGCTGAGTAACATATGACGATGGAAGAAATAGTACGTGGGAGGATTCACAATATTATTTTGTTCTTGTATTAATTTGTTAATGTCGAAAACAAATACATATGATTTTTGTTATGATTAAGATATCTTTCATTGATGTATTTGAATCTTTCAACACTTCTAGAGGACGATATGTTACTATAAATAATGCTGGTTCGAATGATTCATGATTTAAAGATATTATTATTGTTGGAGAAGGTTATCAAGAACAAATTATGTCAGTGTTGTTTTTGGAAATGTACTTCTTCACTTGAAAACCTCTATCATAGATTGTAATACATGTTTTATTGAAAAAAGAATATTTCTTATAGATTTAAAGATATAATATGGAAAATGTTGGAATTGATGTTTTCTGAATGACAATATTAATTGATTTGCAATTATTTATGCTGTAAAGCCAAGACCTAGGGATGTTGTTAGATATAAAACTTGACTATTTTCGAAGCGATTGAAGATCAGCTTCAAAATCGATTTTTTTTTTTATTGTGACTAAGCTCAACAATTGGATTAATTGTTAGTTTATGCGTGTTAGAATGTCATATCATGCAGAATCTCGTTATTTCTATGATAAATAATGTTTTATTACAATTATATGTGATTGAGACAATACGTATTTTTATCGAACTACTACCTTTCTTCCATTTATTAAATCTTGCAATGGTAAAAACATTGCCAACATTTATTCAAAGAAAAGTGACAAGAATGATAACAATAACTTGCATTATTTTCTACAGAATATTCCAATGATATTCTATCGTTACATCAGTTTGACTTGAATCAATGTTTTTGATAATTTATACATTAAGCTGTTAATTTTGGTTAAATAAAAGAATCATTACATCATGTGTTGATATAATTTAGAATAAATTTTATTCGAAAACTCTTATTCAAAAAGTAGGAATTGTAAGCAAAGATGATGAACTGATAATTAAAAACTCCCGAAGGACATTTAGATAGTTTTCGAGGTATCAGTTCTACCCTTGATGCCACCACTAGGGTAAGATGACACATACCATCTGTCTTGTTGGCAGAACGATACTGTAAGAAATAATTATGAGTAATTGAATATCATCATTAGACTTGCAACAGTCAAAACGAATATTTAAGAAAATCGATTTTTGGTAGTGTTGGACCAATGATATAACTAGTCGTGGATGCATTAGATGAATGTTGTTCACGATTTGAAAATAAGATATGAAATGAATCAACAATGGTATTAAATGAAAAAGAATTGTTTCGTCATTCGTTTTGCCCGGAAAAACGAAAAAGTTTAATGAAAATTTTTGAAATACAATCATGTGAAAAACGGATCAGTCTCTTGTTGATCTTTGAATCACTTTAGAAATAATCAAATTTTATACAAAGAAAACATTATGCTACCTTAACTTGACAGTAAAGAAGACTGTCAATAAAAAAAAGTGTTGTCATTCAGAAGATATTAAAATGTAAACAATTTCAAACACCTAGAAAGGTTTTCTTGCTAATTTTTTTGTGCATGATTGGTTCAAGAGAATTGAGTTATTCACGAAAAGTGTCTCTCTAATTGTAAAAAGAAAGTTCTTCAAAAACAAAACATTGTAAAATTTCGAATCTTCCTCCTTACTACAGAAAAAAATGTCAATTTTTTTATGTAACTGTGAGTGTAAAAGTTTTTTTTCTTCTTTCCAATTGCATAAGCATTTTTTCTCACTTCATGACACAAGACTGACTAAGAAGAAATCATATCAAAATATGCTTCCTTCTGAGTCAATTTTGAGTCATAAAGTGGGAAAGATATTTATACCATTGCAAAGAACGAAAACAAAACAACAATAATTAATGTAAAAATCTTTGGAAAAATGTCAAATTCTATTACATCATATGTCTAACTTCTAAACCGATGAAATATTTTTTTTTTTTGTTGGATAGAGTAATGTCTGAACTACAAATTTTGTACGAGACATATTTTTTTAGAACGAATCTAAGAAGGAAGAAAAAGTCAACAGGTAAATATTTCTAAAAAACAAAAGTTCTTGCAACGCTTTTCCCATTTTAAAAATTTCTATTTCTCAATGATTTTGAGGTATATAAATCCAATTCTACTAACTAAATCAATTTATCAAAATGTAGCACATTAAAATTTGAATCAACGTCAGCTTTGATACAAGATTTTAAGATCCATTCTTGATCCTTTATTCAAAAAAATTTGCGAAATTGAAATGTTTTGTAAAATACATTTTTTCAAGAACGATCAATTTAGCATAACATTCGTGATACTATCCAGAAACCATGCGTGAATTGAATTCTTTATGCATTATTTGTTTGAAATACGCCAGATCATAGATACTTAGCAGGAAAATACAAGTCAAAAAAGAATTTTTATTGCTGAAAAATGGTCAGGAAGTAACAGCGATTAAGTTATAGTCTCTTTCAGAAATAGCTATATTTTGTTATAGAAACCTAAAGTAAATTTAACTTTTAATACATTATTTGGAAGAGCATTCCTTATGTTACAAAAATTATCATTAAACATGTTTTCTCATTTCACTTCTGATATAAAATATTTAACAGAAAAATCGGAAAATCATATTGCACGATGGTAAAGTTGCAAAAACCTTTTCTAAGAGATGTTTGATTCTTGACATTTTCTCCTTCTTAGATGCATTCTAGAAAAATATATCTCATACAAAGTGTGTAGTTCATATATTACTTTTTCTCACAAAAAAGAAACTTTCATTGGTTTAGAAGTTGAGAATATAATCTAGCAGAGTTTGATATTTTTCCAAAGACTTTCACATCGCTCATTATTTTACTCACGTTTGTATATAAAATTGACATTTTATTGTGTAGTAAAATCTAGGGTTCGAGATTTTATCATGTTATTTTGTTTTTTTTTTTGAAGAACGTACTTTTACAAATTGGAGAGACACGTGTCTTAGATAACTTTAATCTCTCAAATTGAGCATGCATGAAAAGAGAAAAACACAAATTTCCAGACATTATAAATTGCATGCATCTTAGCTCAGACTTTTGCACATTATATTTTGAATTGAAGATTTATTACTTGGTACATATTACAAACAAAAAAGGCTAACATGAAAAAATAAAGCAAAGTCCATAGGATTTTATAATAAAATTTATTGTCATGATTATTTCATTCTAGTTCAAAACTAGAATTAACTAATCATATCTACACAATTGGATAAATTTGATGTTTATTACAAGGCCATTGTTTCCATCGTCGCCAAAATTTTTTTACCAAAACATTTTTTATCTGACGACGAAATCGCAATGAAGATGCCATAAATATATAAAAAGATGCCTAAACAAAAATGCATCAAATAATATAACAAAGAAAAATATCATTCATAAAATCTTACCGCATAATTTAGATCGAAAAATGAACTTACAATTCTTCCTACTAGGTTACCAATTGCAATTCGAAAAAGATCTGATTTACCAACCTTTGGAAGATATGTATACATTCTTTGAACAGCATAAGGTAATGTTAAAATAATGAATCCAATAATACGGGCAAGAACCATTGCTGTCAATTGTTGATCAAGTCGTCGATGAACTATTGGCATTTGTAGTCGAACTATTCGTCGAACATTACGATATGCTAAGATACTAAATAATGATGCAATAAAAATAGGTAGAATTCCAGATAGAATTGGATAATAAAAACAAGATAAATATCGAGACATCATTGGATTGAAAATACTACAGAAAGAATCTTGAATTTCCATGTAAACACAAAATGGAATGCTATGTAGTAATGAAATACCCATAGCTGTAAATATAAGAATTTCAGCTAATTTAATTGTACTCATTTTTCTTAAATTGAATCGAGGACTTGTTGAAAGATATTGATCACATGAAGAAAAACATATTGCAGAAAATGATATTAATGTACATAATACAATCATCATAGCTCGAAATTTACACCAAAATAGTATTAAATTTGCTGGATCAATTTTATATATGTGTATTAATAAATGGATAAGAAAAAACATAATTAATTGACATATATTTGATATTGATTCGATTATAAAATACAAAACACATTGATTGTTTCGAAAGATTTTCAAACCAGTGAAAACAAGAATATTAAAAAAATTTCCAATAATTCCAATAATGAATATGAGATAACTCGTATAGAGTGTATATTTTTCACCAAAAAAAAGAATATTTGTAGTCATAGAAGAACTCATTATGATTCTATTAAAATGTCTTTTTGACTGAATGCTTGCTTGCTTTCATTATTTTTTTTTCATCTAGAAAAAAAGTAATATCGTGACGTTTTATGCTTTTCAGAATCGAGTAAAAGTCATGTTTGTTCCGGCAAACAGAGAGCTTTTCTTTTCATTGTTATATTAATATTTTACTAAGATATATTTTCGAAAAAAACTATCATTTCTCTATATTTATAAAACAAACATGAAATAAAATTTTCATGAAAACATTTACAGTATAAGAATAAATAACTCCTGTAATAAATACTTTTAGAACAATACACAAATTTAATAACTTGACTAAATAGTTTATCTTGATTATGTCGTTGTAAATGATTCATTTTCTTAACCTTCAAAAATTGGTAGGGAGGAGACATCCTTCTGGCCATGTCTGCAAAAAGAATAGAGACTTATAGAAGGAGCGAAAACCTTCTGATGGAACTGAGCCGATTTTCAGCTTCCGTCTGGTTACGCCACTACTTTCAACACTGATTATCAATAGCACTTGGAACATTGAACTGTTCTAAATACTTTAGCGAGTATCTGGAAGTTTTTTCGGGTATTTTTACTATTTGATTCAACTTTGTCGACCAGCTTGTTTTCAATGGTAGATTCATATATCGAGTTTTTGTTTATATGAGCCAACTTAAAAAACGTCATTACAGCCATTGCCTCGAATCGAAATACAAAAATTTAGCTTTATTTTCTATTTATGGCAAAAGATTATACCACGATTTGTCTTTCATCACTCTGATTTCTTAACTAATTCTGGTCTTTAATAGTCGTTTTAAAAACATATGTTTTCATATATTGTCATAAAAAGAAGTTCAATAGTATTAGATTCAGTGACTACGAAAGCTCGTGAAACCGATTGATTCCAGTTAAATCATTGATCATTAAGTTTATCAGTGAGTCAGAAGTGAAATGTCTTCGATTGTTCGCTGATGAGAAGCTACGCGGACTTATTTTTTGAGATCCTAATAAGAATTAATCGTTTTCTAAAATTTCTAAAGCTTAATTAATTTTTTTCTGATTGATTAAACTAGTAATAACCTCTCATAGAATATTTACTAATACTTTAGTCATGTCAAAGAATTATACTGAACGTCTTTTTATCAATTTATTGATAGTTTTAATTATTTCTTGAAAACTTGATAAAATTCTAGTAAAGATCATGAAATCTAAACGTTGTATATCTAAAGAATTACGGAAATATTTTTCAGAACTAATTATAAAAATGAATGTATAATGCGCTCATGTTTTGACTTTCCAACTTAAAATATTTTCTTTCATTACCAACAATCAGCTTAGGTCAAAGAGACAAATCCTAGAAGTGTGTTTTTAGCATCCTCTTATCATGTCTATGACAATTGAACTTTAGCATAGAAAAGCATAGATTGATATGGACTTAGGAATCCAGGCGTTCATAAAACCTATGTTTTGCATTAGACAAAACCGAAGAATTATCATAAAGAATCAGTAGAAGTTCAGTAATTCTTATTAATGTACATGTGTTGTTGTAAGCACAAATGAACCAATTCATTAAATATCTATTTGAAGTTTAGAATATTTCTGAGCTTCAAAATTATAAAGTTTCTATTAATTGATCATACCAATTGTGATTAGTTTTGAACACTCTGTCTCAAGCTATTCTTAGGTTTTGTCTAATACAAAACACACATCTCAAAATCAGTTAGAAGTGATCAGACAAATTCCAAAAACTTTCTTTTGTATATCATGAATTTCGACTAAAGTTCGAATAGAGCAAAAAACAACTGTTTATAGTTAAGATAAACAATTCACAGAAGGTAGATTCGTAATAAGAGAAAATTTATCATCTTAGCTACTATGTTCGCGGAATCGGTGCAATTGTAACAAAGAAATATTTTTCAAGAATACTGAATGATATGCTATTCGATGCAGAATTTAATTCTATATAATTTGCAAGAAACTCAAGTTGTGTCAGCTGCATTGAAGAAAAAGGATGCTTTTATGAGACAGCGTACAAGAAGATAAAACCTTCCTGATTGCTTGAAAATTGAGATAGAAAAGCTAATCTTTGTAACATAAATAGAGTGTGATAAGCTGTGTCGAATGGCGCTTGAAAGTAGTTTCTAGTTCTTAAACCTTTCTAGACAATTGAAAAAATCCGTCAAAAACATACCAACGTTACATTTGGACAAACCAGCAACCCTACGTTGAGTTTGTTATCGAGGCGACCCTTGACTATCATGCCATCTTTCAATACTCTTCTTTTCTAAATGTGGCATGGTCGTCGTTCTTTGTACTATTGTTCAACGCCCAGCGTGACGGTCATTCTTTGTACTACTTCTCAACGTCCGGCGTGATTATCATTCTTAGTACTATTGTTCTATCCATATATAAATACACATACTTCTTCATTTTCTATATCAATAAACTGTATAACCAGTGCTAACAGAGTTCAGTATTTTTTTGTGAAAGTAATATTTTAATGACTGAAATATTTACTATTTTATATTCTGGATTTTATAAACATTATTTGTATATTAATGAAAAATATCATGTTTCCCCTTAGGAATCCACGTCTTCACATCCTTAATAAAGCAAAAAAACTACTATTATCCTAAGCTATTATCAAGTAAAATAGCATATGAAATGAGCGTTTATATTTGATGAATATGTAATATCCTAAAATAGTTCGAGGTATTTTTTCATTCTTTTGATATTACAACAACCTGGATGCGCCTTAAGATTCAACTTTAATTTGATTCATTCGTACTATTACAATCCATTAGAGAATTTTTAATAAAAAGTATACTATAGTTTATGCCACTAAGCAAAACAACCATTTACTTTCAGAATATTTCAACAGTATTAGCACCAGCGGTCATAAATCCTCTTTTGGCTCTTCAACAGAATGGACCTATAGAGTTGAATAGACTATTTTTGCGTATATGCTACTTTAGCTTCATGTGTATTTTCCAAATCACATTTTAATTCCACTGCGACTTTATTTATGTTTTCTAAGTTTCAATTCAACTCCTACTGTGACAATAAAAAATTTATATATTACGCGATCTTATCTTTAAAAGTTAATTCCTTTTGTAATAGCTTCTGTAATCAGTTTTTCACTGCCAAACTTTATCATTTTCACTTCGAAAGTTACTAAGTTCAAAAGAAAGTTAATTGAAGTTGAAAAAAATTATATCTATTTCAACTTGGCATAGGAATTACTTATCTCTGTAACTGTATAGTGTTTGACAGAATACCAGAAGATTTGCAACTCAAATAATGATAACAAAGTGTTAAATAGAAAAAATAAGCTTTTGATTTCAATATAATATCAAATATTTATGAAGGATCTTTTAATAATAATATCAAGAGAGAACTAAAATTTTAATAATATTTCAATATATTTTCAACAAATATTTAGTTAAGAATATTAATCAGATCTTAATTAATTAAAGGAATATATAAGCAAGACAACGTTTAGGACAAAGATATAAAAATGATCTTTATATTATAATTCTTTTTCCTCGAATGCTTTACTCGTAATTTGTTTTGGATTTCCATCTATTTGAATAAAGATAATTAATGGAATACAAAAGATATCACATGTAAAAATATAAAATATCGTTCTCTTTCGGATTTATTCAAATGAAATAATATTATCGATGTACTGGTTCTGAAGAGAAAAATAATGGTTTATTATTCTCACACTTCTTTAGCTCTGATTATTACATTATAGGTTTTGTTTTATGCATGAAATGTCTTTTCAATGGTATGTAACAGCTTTTCTCTTTTGTATTAAAAGTATATAATGAAAAATCAGGTGCTTTTACCAGTGTATCACAAAACATCGATAATCGTTCTCACAATTTATTACAGTTATCATCATAGTCTATGACTTCGAAATCCTAATGGATTTACATCCACTGTTTTTCTTAACATGAATTAGATGATAATATATTTAAGCATTATAGAGAATTTTTCTATGAAATTCTTTCTTCAAAAATATTCAACAAACGCAATAGAATGAAATTATCATTTTGCACCTTTTACGTTCGTTTATATAAAGATTTCAAACAATATACTTTTCTATTCTTCACGTGTCGTAGACTTGCACTATTGTTTCTTTTCTTTGTTCTATTCTTTCTAGTAGTAACATACGAAGTGCACAACCAATAATAAAATGACCTCAACTTCAACTATGAAAACTTTTTCATTGTCATCATGTGATTGGATAGGTTTTGATTTAGATCATACATTAATACGTTATCGTTTACTTGAACTTCATACATTAATTTATGAATCACTTTGTCAATATCTTGTTGATACGCATGAATACAATTCTGAATTACTTAATATTCCATATGATAATTATTTTGGTGTTAAAGCTTTAATTTATGATAGTTTATATGGAAATTTAATTCAATTAGATTCAAATGGATTAGTTCATACAGCATTACATGGTGTCAATACACATTTATCATCTGAAAAAATTAAAGAAATTTATCCACATGCATTAGAAGATATTGAAGAAGATACTAGTAAACGTTTTATATGTATTTTTACTTATTTTGAACATAGTGTATCATATTTAATAGCGAATATTA